TTGGCTCCTGCAAAATGTGATTGTGTACTTTGAAGAATAGAGTGTAGTTACAAACATTAATTAGAAGACCAATGGTTAAAATTGTTACAACTTCAATGTTTGTCGTATTGTACTTGTATGCATCACATTCTGATTTTCCAATAAATGGTTGGTTATAATTGCACTTATACTCTAAATTACACTCCCTCACATTAAAAGACCTATCCTTAATCCACCAAATTAATATTCTTGGGTCCAATGTTCACATGCTTATATTGTGGTGACAGATATGTTGTTGAGAGAATGGATGGTGATCTGTGGGCTAAAGTTCTTGATCCTGATAATGAGTATAGAAGGCAACTTATTGATCAGGTTGTATCTACTGCTTTGCCTGAAAGCTCAAGCCCTGAGCAAGTTTCTGCAGCTGTTAAGGCTTTCATGACAGCTGACCTGCCTCATGAATTGATTGAACTTCTTGAGAAGATTGTGCTTCAGAATTCTGCATTCAGTGGGAACTTTAATTTGCAGAATCTTCTTATTTTGACGGCAATAAAGGCTGATCCATCCAGAGTTATGGATTATGTTAATAGATTGGATAATTTTGATGGGCCCGCAGTTGGAGAAATGGCTGTAGAAGCACTGTTATATGAGGAAGCTTTTGCCATTTTTAAGAAGTTCAACTTGAATGTTCAAGCAGTCAATGTGTTGCTTGATAATATTCATAGCATTGATAGAGCTGTGGAGTTTGCTTTCAGAGTTGAAGAAGATGCTGTTTGGAGTCAGGTGGCCAAGGCTCAACTCAGGGACGGGTTAGTAAGTGATGCAATCGAGTCATTTATACGAGCAGATGATGCAACACAATTTTTAGATGTTATTCGTGCTGCTGAAGATGCCAATGTTTACCATGACTTGGTGAAGTACTTGTTGATGGTAAGGCAGAAAGCGAAAGAACCCAAGGTTGACAGTGAGCTCATTTATGCATATGCAAAGATTGATAGGCTAAGTGACATTGAGGAGTTCATTCTTATGCCAAATGTTGCCAATCTTCAAAATGTTGGTGACCGATTGTATGATGAAGCATTATATGAGGCTGCCAAAATCATATTTGCTTTTATATCTAACTGGGCCAAGTTAGCCATCACACTGGTCAAATTAAAACAGTTTCAAGGTGCTGTTGATGCAGCAAGGAAAGCTAACAGCTCAAAGACCTGGAAGGAAGTTTGCTTTGCTTGTGTTGATGCGGAGGAGTTTCGTTTGGCCCAGATTTGTGGACTCAACATTATTATTCAGGTAATATTTATTTCAGTTTTTCTATGAACTCTGTGTGTATCAAATATATAGGAAAAATTGTTAATTTCTGATGGGTTTCATGATCCGTTTCTTCAGTATGTGATGGTGAAATGATTTTCCTAGAAGTATGTAGTGAACATGTGAATGCACATAATTTATGATTCGAAGGGTGTTGTGCTTGTTATAATGCTGGTAGTGATCTTATTGAATTTCCAATGCCTATTGTGTTAACTTTTTTTTTCATTAATTTTATAGGTGGATGACTTGGAAGAAGTTAGTGAATATTACCAAAATAGAGGTTGCTTCAATGAGCTAATATCTCTCATGGAGAGTGGTTTAGGGTTAGAAAGGGCTCATATGGGCATCTTTACTGAACTAGGAGTTCTGTATGCTAGATACCGCCCTGAGAAGCTTATGGAGCATATCAAACTATTTTCAACTAGGCTCAATATTCCTAAACTCATAAGAGCTTGTGATGAACAACAGCACTGGAAAGAATTGACCTATCTGTATATACAATATGATGAGTTTGATAATGCTGCAACTACCATCATGAACCATTCTCCTGAAGCATGGGATCACATGCAATTCAAAGACGTTGTTGTTAAAGTTGCTAACGTGGAATTATATTACAAGGCTGTTCACTTCTACTTGGAAGAGCATCCAGACCTTATAAATGATGTTCTGAATGTCCTTGCACTTCGTGTGGATCATGCACGTGTTGTTGACATCATGCGGAAGGTAGGACTAATAGTGGCAAAAACTTCTTAGATATTAGTTGTTTTTTTCCATAACACTAACGGTCAATTTCCCTTTAATATGCTGTAGGCTGGTCACCTCCGTCTTGTGAAACCATACATGATTGCAGTTCAAAGCAGCAATGTATCTGCTGTTAATGAAGCATTGAATGAGATATATGTTGAGGAGGAAGATTATGATAGATTGCGCGAATCAATTGATTTGTATGATAACTTTGATCAAATAGGCCTTGCCCAAAAGGTGATCTGCATTCACCTTAATTTTTACCATTTTTTGGTGTCAATTGTCGAAACCTTATAAATTGTTTTTGATGATGCAGATTGAAAAGCATGAGCTTCTTGAGATGAGACGAGTTGCTGCTTATATTTACAAGAAGGCAGGTAGGTGGAAGCAGTCTATTGCTTTGTCAAAGAAGGATAACCTATACAAAGATGCCATGGAGACAGCCTCACAATCTGGAGAGCGTGAACTTGCTGAGGAGTTACTTGTTTATTTCATTGATCAGGTACTGAATTCAGTTTCAAATTGCATGTATAATTCATGTATTGCAATATCTTATTTAATTAGGTTTTTTATTATTCTTGGATAATGTGTTTTTCTTAATAATTATAACATCATGCTTTGTACATTTCTACGCATTCATAGTTACTCTGCATCCTTCTTCACAACAATGGTTATTGCAAACTAATGGTGTTGCCTGTAGCATGTGCAATCCCATGTCAAGGATGGATATTATTTTATTTCAAGAGTTATTAGTATTTTCATTTTGTCCAAGCCCAGTGCCTGTTTGTTCAGCCAGAGCATGTTAGTCTTACAAAAAAGGATTCAACCCTTTTTGTTCGTCCTTACGGAATAATGATAGTATTTCAGTTTAGTTATTATGTGCATACAATTGAGATTTCTAATTTTTCTTTTCATATGCACAGGGAAAGAAGGAATGTTTTGCCTCATGTCTATTTGTTTGCTATGATTTGATCCGGGCAGACATTGTTCTTGAACTAGCTTGGATGCACAATATGATTGACTTTGCCTTCCCATATCTATTGCAGGTTTGCTTTTATTTTATGCTGCTAATTTTATTACTTGTATTTAAAATATTACGATTCACTATTTGATATGATTCAACTAGCCATCGATTTATACAATAAGATTTAAAATGACTTTAAATCTTAGAATACATGAATGAATTGTAGCAATTTCTTATCATTGTCTCTTAATCTTACAACTTGTACAAATTATGATTCATAATTTAAAAATTACCTTCACTATTTATGATTTATCTCCATTTGATAACCTTGGCTATAATTCAGTTGTCATATTTGTTATTTTTAGATAAATCTTTGGATATTAAGTACATTATTGGATATTGTTTCTCTCTCTCCCCAATTTCCATGAGAATCATCCCGGCTATTCAGGAGTGAATTTGATTGTCTTAGCAAAGTCTAATAGTTTATGGGTTGCAATCATAATCAATCCCTTTGAAATAATTTTATGCAGAGACAATTTAATCTTACTTCCGCCTCTATTGTAAAACCAATTTACATAGTCACTTACATTATAAGTACTTGTTCAACTAAACTTATTTATGAGTACTTAATACTTAATTAAAAGTTTTCCCAAATGCACCGGTAGTGGTGCTTAACTTGTGAATATTGTGGTTGGTCTTATGTACTTGCGATATTACCCAGTTATGGGAGCAACTCTTGGTTTACCAATGCAGTTATTGTCTTCAGCCTTTCATCATATCCAGAGGTTTCTCAAATCTTCGTTTTTTTTCCTATTGTAGTTTATTCGTGAGTACACAGGCAAAGTCGATGAGCTAGTGAAGGACAAAATTGAAGCACAAAACGAAGTGAAGGCTAAAGAGCAAGAAGAAAAGGATGTAGTTGCGCAACAGGTAGTAATGGTGACCATTTTATCTCAGCAGTTTGACGGTTCAGAAATGTTTGGTGTAGATAAATCCTTTCTTTTTCCTCTTTTATCTCAGTTTGACGGTTCAGAAATGTATTTGCTTTCTGTTGCAGAACATGTATGCTCAATTGTTGCCTCTTGCTTTGCCTGCACCACCAATGCCTGGAATGGGAGGCCCAGGAGGTATGGGAGGAGGCTTTGCTCCTCCCCCTCCAATGGGTGGACTTGGGATGCCCCCAATGCCTCCTTATGGCATGCCACCCATGGGAAGTAGTTATTGACATGTACGCCACGGTGGCAAGTATTATCCTGAACTCGGCCCCTACGAAGAGCGATATAGGAACTTCTAAGTTTTGCATAGAATATCTTGTGTGATTTGGATGCACCATTCTTTCTTTGCTTCTGGTGGCGCTGGGAGATTCCAAGTTAAAATAATGTTAAGTTTCTGTTTAGATTGTGTCATTATAGTTTATTGTTTTTCCTGGGTTGTAGTTGAGAGGCATTTTTTGAGCTGTGCTGGTTCGAGCTAACCATAAATTTCTGTATTCTAACATTTTTCTTGTATTAAATGAGTTAGTCTTTAGGTAGATAAAACAAAAATTGAATTACTCCCTAGTATATATGAAATTTACCGACCTGAACAGCCAGCTTGATCGTGCATGTCAAAGCCTAGATTTCCGCACTTCTTAGTTGTGGAAGCTACCTAATTAAATCTTGTTGGCATACTGTTTCTTCATATGCATATTGTTTTCAGTTTATCGTGATTTGATTTCACCTTAATCCCAATAATGATGAATCAACACATTTTTGTTCCCAAAGCTCATTGTTTTTATAATACTGCAATAGTGAGTGCTTCTTCTCTTGTACCCTGCCATATATCAGCCCCCCAGTAAGGCCACCTATATTAGTAATTATTTCCATCCAATGAAATGCGTGGCCCGTATATGCTTTGTATATGGAGAAGTTTTGATCACTCCCTTCAAGGACAGACTTCTTTCTAGAAAAATCCTTGTTCGCTTGATTCTAGAAAAACTTTTTTCAGTACTTCTAGGCAAAGTTACATGGAGTTGTCACAAGACTTGCCTAGTTCTAGCCATTCAACTGGATTAGGCATCAGGGGATCTCTTCGTGAATTGTTCATCAAGTGAGATTTTAACGATGTCAAGGGAACTGAACCAATATCACGAAACTTTAGTCTGAACTTTGACAGTGTGCATCTTGCAAGTTTAGTATGATTCCCAATCCTACGAAGTCTATTAGTTCATTGCAAGTTTAGTATGATTCCCAATCCTACGAAGTCTATTAGTTCATGCAAGTATATGTACTGAAACTGTGCTGATATCTCTACTCCCTTATACCCTCGATTTTAGAAAATTAAAAATATGAGCGTAGCTTACACAAAATATTGCTTAGATAAATAAAGCACGCATATGATACTTACACAACAAAGTGCATCTATCACAATTTGTACCAACAAATAAATCAAGAAATTGTTTAGTGAAATTTATGAGATAAACCACTTCGAAATTAAGGGAAAACATTGGATAATCTTTTATTGCACTTGTGTATTGTAAATGCAGTGAATGTATCGAAAGGAAAATCCAAGTTTATGCATACAAGATCGTGATTTTCTCCATGAACTTAATTTCTTTTCCATTTTGAAGCATTTGATTGATCTGTTTACTTTTACGGAAAATGAATTCGACCTTATTTATAGAAATAAAATAAATTCGATTAGATCAAGTGAGTTTTTAATCGTAAAAATAAATTCAATCCAATCTTTGACAGCATTTATTTGGTTCTTTGAGAGTTAAACTCGTCTTGGGAATAAGCCTTAGAATGTATGGGAAAACTAGTACAATGCCTTTTAAGTAAATTCAATATATTTAAATTTATTATTTTGTTTATATATATATATATATATGTTTTTTTTTTAACTTCCTTTAAATATTTTATCTAAACATTTTATGGCACCCTGAGAGAAAGAGAAAAGGTATTTAGTCTTGATCACCTTAAATCTAAATCCTACCATCGCCACTGGTCCTATCAACACCTTATGGTACTTATGTGAATGTGTTTATCCCAATAAGTTAGAAATATACACATTATCACTCTCCATGATAATTAGTGTTGATGGCATGTATTAGTTTCTTTTTCCCAAAATCAAATAATCTTTGTGGTAAACCTTAACTTACGTCATTGTATTTTAGTGACAATCAGGTCAACATTTTTATGTATCTACTTTACTGCTGTTAATGGCGAGAATGACAATTTGTAAGTACTATATTACTCATCCTTACGTATCTGAAAAAAAATTGTAATTATTTAAATCTAACACGAGTAATTTTAAATTTCTTATCTGTTGAGTACTTATACAATCTTTACATACACTTTAAGCATGTGTAAAGTAAAAAAAAAATACAAAAAAATTCTAAACAAAAATATTACAACTAAATTGAAATTTTATTTTTATGTAATTCAAACATAAAGTCATAATCAAAATTTAATACATAATATTTTCAAACATCAGTATTCTAATTATCAAGCTTGGTTAAATTTAGCAATAAAATACAAAAATGATTTTTTGAAACTCAATAATCAATATTACCTTTTAATAATTAAATTTATTTATAGTTTATCCTCTGCTTTGCTTGTATTTATGCATAAAAAATTAGTACTTAATAAAATATATCATTACAAATGTGTACAAAACATCCTCATTCAATCATTATGCATAAAATGTGCGGATATGAGACAGAGTTGATGTTATATCATCATCATTACCCTTCTCATTGTAAATAACTCTTCCACAACTTTAATAATATAATATTATTTTTAAATTATTTTTATTTTGATGGTTATGAATATATTATCTTCTTTAGGAATATTTTATATGAACTTTTTTAATAGAATTGTCATTCCTAATGACTAAAAGTCATTGATGTCAATCCAAACAACAAAACTCAGTTTGTAATAGATTTTTAGTGTATAAATAACAAGTTTAACATGATTGAGTCCCATAACTTACTTAATCAATAAATTTTAATTAATAAAACTGTATTGCTATTTTCTGACATTATGTATGTGAAAATATTCAAATTCCTTTGTTACTGTTTTCAACATCATCGGGTTATGGAGATAAAACTAAAAACTTGATTTGCCATTCCAAGTCATAGGCATTGACTTGATCTCATTAATCTACCATTCTAGGCATCTATTAGAATGACCAACAATTCTGCATGTCTTTTCTTGACAGATGTTTTAGGGTGTAGGGTTTAGAATACACACGTTTATCTTACCAAAACCTTGTCTTGCCTACATGTAAGTGAAAATTTTGCACGACAAGCAAAATATTGTGTTATTTCTAAAGATTTTAACCATAGTTGGCCTGAGTCTAATTTTTCAATGTAAAGTTTGTTGTTGAGAAAACAATATTTCCATCCAAATAACCTGAAAACATCACTGAAATGTATGCTAACATCTTCAACATTTCTGAAAAAAATAATAATCGTTATCTTAATTCTTGAGGTGATAATTAAATTTTGCAGGACATGCAATGCATATATTTACATCTAATATATCTTACTTATCTTTTAAACAGTACATGACATTCAAACAAAGAAAAGTAACTCCCCTGCATATCCTTCCCTTTCTTTGAAAAATTTCACTTCCCTCTGATCCTTTTCACTTAAAAATATCAAACATATGTAATAGTGATACTGTGCAGAGACTAAAAAGAGAGGAAAAGTTAAAGTACAAAAAACACCGACTTGAATGATATATATATATATATATATCGAATTTTAGGATAAAGTAGAATCAAATGATTTTTTTACCTCTCATTTGCAATCACATTATTATTTCTATCTTTTTCCGCTGCATCCAATGTATCTCTCTGCCTTACCCATTTATTTTTATGCCGTCAACTAATAATTACTCTCCATAGAGGCATGCATTTATTGCGAATCCATGATTGCACCTTATCTTTCTATTATTTAACCTTTCTATGCCAGAGGGACAAGGACGAATGCATAGGCTTCCAACCTTAATTGGCTTCTGTGTCTATAATGCTTTATTTCTCATCATTCCATTGCTTGAAACAAACAAAGACGTGCCATCTCACTTTGATCATTTTGGTTTGCCACATTTTCATCGTGATGCCCTCACTTTGGCTATGATATATAGAGAGAGAGATAAATATTGGAGATATGTTTTGAGATTATGGGACCCAAAAGCCTGAAATTTCGATCAGATAAAATAACATGGGGTGAGGGGGAAGAAAAGAAACAAGGAAAGAGATTGAAGGGAAAGAAAAATACGGAATGAGAAGAAACCACACAAATTGTATGAGAGATAATAGAGGCTAACAAAGTGAGTGGTTGGATCAGTAGTCGTATCACTCTTTAAGGTGCTTTATTATGAGTTACAAATTGTGAGGGAAAATGGGACCCTCCAGTGATTGTAATTGAAGCTTCCTTTGTTTGCTAGCTTGTGCTGGAGACACACTATGTGAAGCTTTTCAATCAGAGTGCCATTAAAGTGTACAAAATAAGCCGCTTTTACTCAGTGGCAGGCTTTGAAGTTCCACCTTTCAATCAATATAAATGAGAAAATTCACCATTGAAAGAAATCAAGTAATTAACCCTCTTCTGGATGCATGCATAAATGGACAAACTCCACTTGTTTGTCCAATATACAGAGATCTGTAGTTTGTTTTCACATAGTTTTGTTTTTTTCCTTTGGTAGATAACACTTCTCATGCTGGAGAGATTTCTTGTTATTTAAAGACTAATCGAATACCTGTAATTAACTAATACTACTTTGATTTATGTTTGCACTGTAGTTCTCAAAACTAGTCTATGCCAACTGTTTCAACATAGCACGAGACTGTTTTTCAATCTATCACTTATTAGTCAGAAAAAATAGAGGTAAAATAAGCCCACGAGTTGTCTTAAACTCAATGGACAATCCGTTTTATCACTGTTGTTATTACATCACACATTTGTCTAATTGTACGAGCAAATCAAGCGTTCTTTTTTGTGTACAAATGTTCTCTTTCAGTCACCTTTTTCATCTTCCTCATCATGGCAAGGACCAAAACCTTGGTTGGGACTGTATATGATAGTACCGTAACTTCTGTGCTGAAAAACCAAGTTGAAATTCAACGAGGAAGCCCTTAATGAAGTAGCATATCACTCTTGAAATTAAACCAATGATTGAGCGTTTTATCGGTATCATATGTCCTAGTCTAAGGTTAAAAATAGCAGAATTTTTTATTTTTAACAGCAAAGGCTTGTGACGTTAAAATTTTGACATGATTGGTAGATAATGTTGTTCTTTAATATATCGCCAGAAATTGGATCATTATATCTATCTTTATGCATAAATTAAATATCTAGGTTCAGGACAGTAATAGCCCAAATGGTTATAATTAGAGCCAGAGCAGACAAAAAACTTTATGGCTATGTACATTTAGGAGAATAAGATACTGTTCTTGCATCCACTACATCAGTTACTGTTACTAGGTCAAGCGATTCCAAAATTCTACACAGTGGTTCCCGAGTCCAATTGCAAGGTACTATTTCATTTCTGCTTCAAATTCTTAGTCAGCACGGATACTCATTAAGATAAGCCTGTTTGTTGGGCCATGCCACCCTCTTGCTTTTTATTTTGGCTCTTCCTTTTTTCTCTTCTCAAACTTGAGATTCTTTACAAAGTGTTGTGAGATTTATTAGGGAGAAAATTTTCTAGGTGAAGTGACAGGCGCATACGGCCAAAAACTATTTTCATCTGACCCCATTAAAGGTCATTGCATATCACACCAATCACCATAAAGATAAGAAGAAGATCGCCCATTAAGCAAACAGTGGCATTGAATGGGAAATAAAAAGCTCACAAAGCCAGGCACAAGCACTAGAATGGTTTCTAATTGTGCATATGGGAAGTTACTACTATTCTGGGTGGCCTCTTGCCACCAACGTGGCTCAGTGCATCTCTGCACCAAACAGTGATCAATCATCCCCTTTTTCAGTTCCAACAGCTCAAACACTCCCTCTTGCTTCTGACCCTGCCTCTCTTCAGTTTAGTGAGTTCCCTTTGTGGCCCGCAACCATTGCAGAAGATAGAGCTGCAAGTGCTTCAAAGAGTCACAGTCAAGCAGAGAAAAGGCGCAGGGACAGGATCAATGCACAGCTTGCAACTCTCAGAAAACTCATTCCCAAGTCTGATAAGGTAAAAGAAAAATAAAAACATCATGTGTCTCTTTTACTAAGTGGAACAGTTACTCCTTTCAAGTATACTATTTCTTTAAAAAGTTTCCATACTGTTTAAGACAAGAAGCAAAAAAGTGGAACTAGAATTTCCTACTCTATCATGTATAGGGTATCATTAAGGTAAATTAAATCAGATTCTGTGTAACAAAATAATATATGATATGATTGGTAGATAATTAAATATGCGATCGGAGAAGTTTGATCTTCAAGTTTATCTATATAAAATAGTATTTGGATGAAGAATTCAATCTTTCAAATGAATTCTAATCTTTTAAGTTCTAGTTTGAAATACCTTGAGTTAAATAAAAATCAGATTCGATTCACTCTAAATTTGTGGCGTTTCATTGTCTCTTTTAGATAGCATAGTCACTTTCAATTACATGAATAGCTTTACTAGGTTGTATGACAGGTCATATAGATTTCAATTCCACCGACTTCCCATCTTTAGTTGAGAAAGAAACTAAGAAAATCATAACATGAATAGCTTTACTAGGTTGTATGATGGATGATATAGATTTCAGTTTCAAATAAAATCCCATTTTAGTATTACAGCATGAATGAATAGCTTTACTAGGGTGTATGATAGGCCATAGATTTCAGTTCCACTAGCATCCCTTATATCTTTATCAGAAAGAAACTATAAGGGGTAAAACTGTGTGGTTGCAGATGGACAAAGCAGCATTACTAGGGAGTGTCGTAGACCATGTGAAAGATCTAAAGCGAAAAGCCATAGATGTGAGCAAAGCCATCACTGTTCCAACTGAAACTGATGAAGTAACAATTGACTTCCACCAAGCTCAGGATGAAAGCTACACAAAAGTGAATATATTCAAGGAAAACATCATAATCAAAGCTTCTGTTTGCTGTGATGATCGACCAGAAGTGTTCCCTGAGCTCATCCAAGTCCTCAAAGGGTTGAGACTCACAGCAGTTAAGGCTGACATAGCCAGTGTGGGTGGCAGAATCAAAAGCATATTGGTTCTTTGCACAAAGGATAGTGAAGAGAGTAGTGTTTGCCTTAGCACCCTCAAACAATCACTTAAATCAGCTGTGAACAAAATTGCTTCCTTATCTGTGGCAACTAATTGTCCCACCAGAAGTAAGAGGCAGAGGTTCTTCTTGCCTTCTCATTACGGACAATCATAATTCATTATTGCAATTTTCTTTTTTCTTTTTTTATTCTTAGGAGGGGTTGTGTCAACGTGAAATTATTTAGTTTCATTTTTCAACATTTGTTTTTCGTAAGATATAATACAAGGAAACCTAAGTGTTAGTTTGTGTCTCCAGTTATAATAAGTTACATGAAAAATAATGACATGATCCATATATAACTTTTTTGAAGTGTGATCAAGAGTTCAGTCTCACCTTCATACATCTATTGGAAGAAAAAAGTATATATTTTCAAAGACATCAATCTCTTAATTAGATATCAACATCTCACCAAATCACTTCTTAATTCTTGATTGAATGTATATGTTCCATAAAATTATTGTGTTCTACACAAAAATTAAAAAAAAAAGTTGGTTAAGCATATTCAAAGATTATTTACTATGTTAATTCCAAATTAGAAACAAGAGCTTTCCAAGATCAACAAGGAAAAAAAAAGAGGGAAAATCTTGCTAGCTTTCTAAATTTGGTAAAAAGAAAAATTAAACTAAGAATATCCTCCAACAAATTGAAAAATTTAAGATGATCCGACATACCTAACAGTCAATATAACTTGAGCATTAATCTGGATCTATTTCAACTTAAAAATATTGACTCATGACATGAATAACTATCCCTCAATAATATATACTACTTAGTTATGAACATGAGATTTGCAGTACTATTTCATTCTTAAATTATACTGCATGTGATATTTTCAACCGATTTATGCATGAAATGTTGACACGTATTCTTGATTGTGATGCAAGTTGTTCCTTAATGTGGGACCCTTTATGCTCTGCTTCTTTGTAAGCAGAAGCACAGATAATTTATGAGATGCAGAAATATCCAGTGATAGCATTGTAGATAAGGACCACGCCCATAATTAGATCACTGTTAAACAAAAGCAAAGTACACAATTTTCCTTTTAAAATGATTTATAATAATCTACTGTTGCAATGTGTTGTTCTCTTGAATGTTTTATGAATATAAAGTCCACAAAACAGTCATTCAGTAAGAGATTAGATTGGGATAATTTCGTTGTTATATGTAATAGTTCTCTTACATTGCCGTTTTTCAAAATGCACTTTTGTTATTTTATTTTGTGCTTTTATTGAGTTAATTGAGCTTCCGTTTCATTATTGAATAAACGATTTAGACCAATAAATTAATTTGTTAAAACTTTAAAAGATGAAAATATGATAAAAAAAATACATATTTGGTTATTATTTTATATATTTAAAAGACCACCAAAAAAATTCTATATTAACAAACTAGGATAGTTTGTTGGTAGTTAGGTAGGTACTGTTGATGGTTTGAGTTGTTGTGGTGCATAATATGTAAGCACCTTCCAGTCCAATCTGTAAGCACATTTTTCAATGATAAAAAAAATATTTAAGAAAATATAAGAAATTATGTAATATACAGAAAATAAAATGAAAATCAACTTCCATGCATCCAATCAAATTTATCACAGCAATTTAGGACGATAAAAATGGATGGATGGGATTAGTTTAATCTATATTAATATTAGATTGAATTAATTAATCTATTCTTATCTGTTAAAAAATTGTTTGAAATTTTTGATATATTAATAGTTTTTCACAAATAGATATTTAATTCTTCCAAGAAAATAATATTGTTTCAGGTCTTATTTCTACTAAACATATATTTAATTCATGAAGGCTAATAAAATTAGTTAAATTAGTCCATTTTAGTTATAATGTAAAAAATTTAAATTTTATTTTAAAAATACTTATAAATAATTTATGTGATATTTATAGTATACTGAATAACGAAAACTCCTCGAATATACCACAATACTCTGCTATTTGACTCAGTTATCTCTCAAATTTATTTTTCTATAAATATTTTCTACTCCTTATATATATAATTTTCATCTATGAATAACAAAAGTAATTATAGAAAATGAATTTGCTTTGTATAATAGCATATCTAAACTATTAAATATTATAAGATATCTTAATTATATATTTTGAATACATAGGGTATAAACTACTAAATGAACAAATTAACAGCAATAACGAAGAAATGAATGGAATGTCTAAGAGCAGTGAAAACTTGCAGATCCTTCCGTTTACTAAACCAATTTCCTTTCCTTTATGCCAATCCCAACTAAAATCCAAAAAACAACACAAATTTAATACCAATTTCATACGTTATGAAACGAGGGAAAACGAACTTAATAAGAAATAAAACCGCAACTTCCTTCCTCCTATTGTTTATTGGAAAAGACGTTATATGAATTTGTTATATAAATAACTTCCTCAATATTAATTAATATTCTCTCACACGCTCTTCATAAACCTACCTGTTAACTTCCACTACCAAACCACCAACAAAAAAACACTTGGAAGCATAAATCTTTTCCATTGGCCACATTTGAAAACGGTTACACTTGTAAGTTTTCAGGATTCTCCAACTAAATCTTATTCTCAGTTATCTAACAGAAAAACTAATCGCGAAATATAACCATTATAATAACATGACATTACAATACTATAATAACTGAACAACGCCCACTAACCTAACCTTTCGTGTTCCATTTTCGCAAACAGGTTTAAGGCATGTTTATGGGTACTGTTAAGGGATCGTGGAGTCCTGAGGAGGACGAGATGCTAGAGAAATTGGTGAAGAAGCACGGCGCGCAAAAATGGTCCGTCATCTGCAAAGGCATTCCGGGACGCTCAAGCAAGTCCTGCCGACTGCGGTGGATCAACCAGCTGAGTCCGGACGTGGAGCACCGCCCCTTCACGCCGGAGGAGGACGACGTCCTCATCAAGGCGCGAGCCATTCACGGGAACAAGTGGGCCACCATCTCGCGCCTCCTCCCTGGCCGCTCCGACAACGCTATAAAGAATCGCTGGAACTCTAGCCTCCGCCGCTTCTGCGTGACGGAGCAGCCATCCTCGTCGTCGGCGTGGCCAAGCGCCAACTACCCCTCTCCCGTCGACCCCTTCGACCCGTTCGACCCTTCCTATCCTTTCAAGAAACAGTGCGTAAATGAAAGGAAAGAAAAGTCCATAGCGATTCCCGTTACAACGTCGCTGAGTCTCTCTCCGCCTGGGGAAAGATCAGATGCAGATGGAGATAGACAGGAGGAAGAGGAAAAATATTTTGAATCGAACCTGAATTACATTCTGGATCAGGAAAAGTTTCTTGGGATAGTCCGGCAAATGATAGCGATCGAGGTTAGAAATTACATGGATGCTTTGTGGCAACACGGAATGTACGGACCACCTTTTCCTCCATCGTCGTTATATTGGCCTCCCAGATATTGAATCTTCCCAGCTTTTGTTTTATTGGGATCTAATGCTCCAAGATTTAATAATTTGTATAAACATCTAATTTTCTAACTAAATAAATCAGTGGTAAACAAAGTAACACGTAAAACAAGTGACTGATATGATACCGGATTGAAGTAAAGTTATATCATAGCAATTATCTATCTTAATACTTTCATGGCAAAACACTATACAATATTTTATTATATGAGATGAGTAATCCAATATTTATACGACGGTATAGGTTGAATAGATAATAAAACAATCTCATTTTTAATTATTGGGTTTTGCTTCCAATTTAGGATTTGGATGATATTTTTTTTGATAATTTACAAAATGAATAGACAATTCAAATTTAAATTAACATTACAGTGTATTACATAGTATTATTTTATATTGTATAATAGTTGTTTTAGATTCAAACAATACTTTTGGTTAGACATACGCAATGAATGGATAAAAACAGAAGCATAAGGGACGATGATAAGTTAACTTCATATAGTTTGGCCCATTCATGAGACTTAAATCCTTTCGAAAAGTCTTTCGGACCAGACTTAAATCCTTAAGTAAAGAGAAGTTATCTCCATGTAAAAAAAATTTGAAACAAATAACCAAACTCACTCTCTAGTTTAAGAGTATGTAATTCTTATTGTTTTTCTAGAACATTTCAATCTACTTTTGGTTTTTATATATTTATAAATATTTAATTTTTAATTTTTATAAAATATTAATTATACTTTTTTTTTAAATTAAATCAAGTAATTTTTTCTATTATTCATTAATAAATACTTTTTATGGTTTATTTGGATTGAGGAGATTAGAAGTAAAGTTCTTTTAATTAAAAAATTAGTATAAAAGAAAGAAAAAATAAATAAAAATATTATAATTGATTTAATTAATTTGATATAAATAAATTAATTAGATAATATAATAAATTAATTACCCTTAATAAAATTTAAAACGTGTGAATATGAATTAAAATAGAAAGATGATTAAAGATGAATACTTATTTCATAAATTGAAAATAATATTAAAAATGATTTATTAATTAAATGCATAAACATTTTTATGAAAAAAAATTACAAATTAAAATAATTAAAAAAAAATTGTATTGAATATCGCTTTTAGATTAAATATATAAATTAAATTTAACTTATAAATAATTTTTTTATTTTATTTTTTAAAGTACATATAAAATTAATTATACCATACCTAAATCTAAAAGATACACAACAGGATAGGATTCATATTTACTGAGCCATTATAGTTAATATAAGCAAACAGTTACATTATTATTTATTATTATTTTAATATATTACTGTTCTCATTCTATTTATAATCTATATTTATTTTTTAAAAATAAAATAGGATATAAAAATTAAAAAATAATAATAATATACAACACTGATAGACCAAAGATAAGAAAATACTTACTATACAATATTTTTATCATTGAAATATATTATTATTTTCTATCATGTTCTTCCTTATTATTATCATAACAATTACTATTTTACTTGTTACAGTAATCTTTATTATAATCGTAACACTAATTACATCATTGTCCTATCACCACTATTGTGTTTTGATCAATATTATTATATTATTCATAACTATTACTATCATAAACTAGTTTATTTAATCTTTATTATGCACAAAATATTAGATAAAATTAATGTTTATCATTTTTTTACTCATATATTAAGATTCTCTAACCACCACCACCAAACCATCCTATTAATGTCATAACACAATTTACTCAACACACCTAAATAAAATAGGTTATAAGAAAATATTTCATGTGATCCAAATTTAATTCCAAGACATTTTATATTTCTTCATCTCATAGTTAAATAAATTAAAGAATGTGTCATAGCATTGACTATACAAAACATGAAAAAAAATTAAGCTATTTTATTTTATTACTGAGGTTGTTTCATCAATATTTCAACATTGAATTATATAAGTAGTCATTTTTTTAATTTTACTTAACAATATGTCTTATACTATCTTTTCAAAAAAATAATTTATCCTTACTTTTAAAGTCATTATGAAAAAAAAAAAACTATTTTCTTTTATTAAAGAGATTGTTTCATCAACATTTCATGACTAAATTATATGAGTAATCATTTGTTTTTAAACCTTTACTCTATTTTATCGCACTAATACGGCTAATACGAAAAATGCACTACAAAACAAAATAATACACCGTCCATACCTCTAACCTAACCCCCTAACCTATATGAAACCTATTTGATGTATAATATTTTGCATTTTCAAAAATGTTAGCATAGAAATAAAATTATAGAAGTGGGATATAAAATAAAGTTACAATTTCCTATTTAAATGAATATATGAACAAAAACATATTGTATTGTTATTTTAATATGAATGCTCTTATTATCTCTATAAAAAAATTTAAGGAATTAGTAAGATGGCAATTCTGAGATATTTAGAATCAAACTAATATTTTGTACACATTTAATAAAATTTATCTTCTCTAAGATTTCCAAACACCGGTTTATAACCATGTTTCTTTAATGGTATTTAAAATACTATAATATAACAGATAAGGTTCTACTACTCAGAAAGACAGTCAAGAAGAAATTAAAAATAACAATGTAGCATTTTGAATTAAGAACTATAAATTTTCTAACCATCAAAAGAACTGAATTGAATGATTTTTAAGGTTAAACTAAACTTGGGACTAACATATTTTAATAGAAAGATTAATTAAGTAAATTCACATATGTTGCAATCTCCCTTACAAAATTCAGCGGCATTTTATAGGTAGAATGAGCAAAATAATAGCAAGAAAAACAGAAATGCAAATAAAAAATTCTGTTTGATCCTCACTTGAGTTCTTACTCATAAGACAAGCATAAACTAATTAAAGGCAACAAAATATATCAAAACATAAGAAGGGGATACCAGTGCTGCTGGATTTCCCGTTTGATAACACGAGCAATTGTAAAATCCAAACGAAACAAACTACAATTAACGCACTACTTAGATCTCTGTCTCATCTTTCGGCGCTTTCTTTTCAGTCTCCTCATACGCTTCTTCTTCCACTACAAAATGAGAAAGAAGATATTACAATCAGACCTGGATCAAATAATAAATATAGCAAAAACAAAAAAACGATGGAGAAATAAAATCACCTTAGCCCTCATGTTGAACAACAAAACCTAAACCCTTCAACGGAACTCTAACCCCTTATCCGACTCGAACCCTAGCCGATTGCGGCTGCAAAGTAGCAGAGGACTAAGAAGAAACGAAGGATTAATGTTGCAGCAATTTATAGCAACCCTAGCAAATCATGAGAAAGTATTGGGCTCTAACCAAAGACCCAGCTTGAGCTCAGCGTCGTCAATTAGTGGGCTTCGAAAGGCCTTCAATATAAGAACAGCCCATAAACTTTTTTTCATTGATATTTTTCTTGGATTTGTTTGCACTAATATATGCCCTAATAGATATTATTAGTTCCTTTTGAAAAGTAAAGATCACTAAAGTAAGTTTTTTTTTCTCTGAAAATATTTTTTAAAGTTTTATTTATTTTTTAAAATAACTTCTTTTATACACATGGAAGGACTCTAAAACTTAAAACGTACTTAAAGAAACTATAATATTTAGTATGTTGGACCTTATAGGTACAGCATGCGATACGCATATAGTTTAGTTTATTTTTTAAAAATTATACTTGAAATGATTTTTTTTTTACTTAAAAAATTGTATGTAATTCAACCAATTAAAGACTGGGATTCGGAAAACCTATGTTATAAGGAAGAATATCTAAATTTTATTGAACTTGTTTAGATACACAACTAAACATATATATATATATATATTATTTTGCAATAAAAAAAAAATATATGTGTTTACTTGGTGGAATTTCGATCGATTTCGATTCTAAAGGTGATTTGATCCTAATCAAAAATCCTCCCACGCAAGTTCTTCTTACTTAGGCTAGCAGTCTGATTTTCAATCGAAAATGTGTATGAGAATCGAAAGTCACAGACTATCAAAATGCTATTTTTTAGTATTTTATCTTCAAAATGTCGAAAGCAGTAAAAAGTATCGAATCGAGAAACGGAATATTAAATTGCGAGGAAATGTAAAGTGCGAAAACCCCAAATTTGCATTAATTGTAAATGGCAAGAAATCGAAAACAGCGCAAATATAAATGACAAGAAATCGAGATTGCACGAAGAGTAAATGACAGGAAATCGAGATTTGCAAAATGTTAAATAACAGGAAATCGTAAATACAGAAATTTAAACTTTCATTGAATTAAAATGACAAAGAATTGAAAACACAGAAAGATAAAACTGCTAAATTTAAGTTGCATCAAAATAAATTACCAAGGAAAATACAGAAAGCGGTAAATGTACTCAGTGAGCAAGGAAATCCAAATTGCCAGAAGCTTCATGGTGTTCGTCGTTTCTCCGGTAGACTTTTCACTACTGATTCTGTTCTCTGCCAATTTCTACTCCCCCTTTTATTTCTTCCTTCTTTGCTCTATTTATAGTGCATCGTTCAAGTCTTCCAAGAGCAGTTAACACGACTGCTACCACGTTCTACGTGCATATGGCGGTTTATCTCCTACTGTTTTCCACGTTCTCACGATCTTTGATTTCCTCCATGGTTTAGAAACTGCTCTCTATCCGTGCATTTGACTTACTCTTCTCTTTATGGTTTGACCAAGGTTTTCGATGTCCGTGTAGGTTAGCTTTCTTCATTTTCGATTTTACACTTTCGAGAACTTCGAATTGCTTACGATTCCTTTTCAACCTTAACGTCTTATCATTCTAGTTTCTTAGGTTTTGACAATAGGCATTTGACTATTCCTTCGATTCTCGATTGTATTTATCGATGTTATGTGTTACGTGCTTTAGACATCGAATGGTTTTTTATCAGTCACGTGTTCTCTCTTTCATTTCCCTCATTTTCGATCGCTTTTCTCGATTTTCTACTAACAAAATGCCCCCTTGGAAGAA